AGATTCGATTGTTGCAATGCTGTTTTCACAGGACTATTAAAAAAATCAATAAGACATCTTCAATGTCTTCAAAATGCTGCTGCTAGAGTCCTTACAAAAAAATTCAGCAGTTCTGAGGTCATTTTATTGGCTGCCTGTTGCTCAAAGACTATAGTTTAAAATCTCACTAATGGTTTACAACACTTACTGGTCRGGACCCTGCTATATCTCTCTTTTTCATTACTGTAAACCATTAAAATCTTTACGATCACCTGAATCAAACCTACTAACCTTTTATTAGAGTCAGAACAAAACATGCTGAAGCAGCCTTCAGTTTTTATGAACTAAAAATTTAGAATCAGCTAAGCTATCTTAAAACAAGATTAAAAACCTTTTGATTTGCTGTTCCTCATTCTTAATTTGTTCTTTTAATTTATTTTTAAATCTGTTTTATTCTGTTTATTTTAATGTGTGTTGTTATTGACTTCTAAGTACTTTGCTGCCCCTGGCTGAAAAGTGCAATATAAATAAAGTTGCCTTGGTTTGTGTGGTGGAGTATTTCCCTTTTTTAAAGGGTAATCCATTAAATGGGTTTAATGTTGCTTCATGGGAGGCTCCGGTTTGTTTCTGACCTGTGTGATGTTCCTTGGTCTACCTGCTGTTTATTGCTGAGTGTGGTAGTAGTTGATGCTTAAAGGTGTGACTGGTTCTGAGGACAACTGGTGAATAACATTTAGCTCATCTGACTCTTTGATGGCTCACAGCTGGATCATCTTTATACAATTAGCTTCTGATGCTGCCATGTACCATTTTTTAGTTCTATAATTTTAAAATATTTTCAAACAAGTCTGTTTTCTGATTTTAGTTTCTGGGTATTATGTTCAGGTACATTATTTATTAAAAACATCTTAGTGTCTTTACACTCTACATTGTAAAATAGCAAAACCGTGGTGGAATGAATAATTTTGCAGCTTTCTCTACACCCCAAACTGAAGTTACGTCCTCCTGTAGCTGTAAAACACAACTTATTTATTACAAAGATCATCTTACATTTAACCAACCAATTTATGAAGGTAATAAAATGTAAACAGATATGCAGGAAGTTCTAGTTTTGCCTCATTTGCTGTTGAATGTGAGCAAAAACAGGAGTGTTAAAATTTCAGTGTTAAAATTGTGGGTGTTTAACACCCRCTAGTGTTACTWTCTGAGTAAASTGACACCCAGTGTTGGTGTTAATTCACAGTGTTGATTTCGTCAGTGTTGTATCAACACTGGACAGTGTTAAATAAGCTCCACCCACTGTTAAGTTTTAAATAACACTTAACAGTGTTGTTATTTAACACCATGCAGTGTTGGGGAAAAAAGCAGTATTCTGAAAAGCCCCGCYCTCTTCCACCTCGTGTCAGACASACCWGTATTTACCCAGCATTCYTTGCTGAGAAATCATGCAGAAATGATGTGTTTGCATGTTTATGACTATTAAAGAAGTTCATGAGAGTAAAAATKAGTTGTTCTGGTTARTTTTCTTGTTCAGTTTKATCAAGTTGTTCAACTTTAAGTTTGTTATTGGCCAAAAACCAACACAATGAGTGAGAGATACTTCTTAGTGTGTGAAGGGTGACTCCATTATACTTTTCTTAAAACTACTGAGTAGTGTTGATATAACACTATAAAGAGTTTGATATTAATTCTGAGTGTTAAATTTACACTCTCTATTTGATGGTGTATTGACATCTTGTGGTGTCTGTAAACCTTTCTAACAACACAATTCCCTTTTGTTAATAATAATTTACTGGTGTTACTTTTAACACTTTATTGTAACACTGTTGAAATATTAATATGACACCAAGTATTGTTGGATATTAAACACTGGTTGGTGTTAAATTAACAACAAAATGAGTGTTAAATTTGAACGTTTTCACAAATGTTATTTTAACACCAGCRARTGKGGACACATATAGACACTTTGTTGGTGTTAAAATTATCACTGTGTGTGTTAARTTAACACTGGCATTTTTGCTGTGTATCATAAGTGAATAATATATTGGCTGGAAAATATACACATTTCCATATATCCTGAACTGTACTGACTTCACCATGAGGACAACATTTGAAATGTTTTGTTTCTCTTGACACATACATTGACAACCAGCCCTTATGGAGCCCAGTATTTTTGCTAAGGACACTCCAACAAGAAGACACTCGGCGTACTGCACCTCAGACTGCAGAGCCATGAGGGGGAACCTGCGTGACAACGAGAGTTTAAGCCAGAACATGTCACAGTTTTACATCTGTTCTCAGAGCAACTAAGTCACTGCATTAATGATGTGTTAAGTGCTAAACCTACACTTATTCATATTTTACTTTCTGAGTAYAACACTTCACAAAATGAAAGTTACATAAGCATTTTACCCATAAATAAGACAACACACACACAAATATAGAGCCAAAACATTTGACAGTATCCRCAGAAAGAAATATTTTTACAGTCTTTACATCTCAGCAGAAATCTTTTTTACACATTTAAAGTCAGACTATAGCTCCTTTGTCTGCACATTCACAGTGAAATATGCTGTGCAGGGATGGACTGTCATCTGCAGAGTGCTGAGCTTATCAGAACCTGAGGGAAATCTAAATTAAATCTTTGTGGTGAATAGGACTAGYTTTCAAATTATCTATTGTCACTCACAGCTATTTAAGTTATTGGGAAGGAAAGGCACATTTATCAAAAGAGCGTTTAGATGACAGCTCTAATCAAAGAACATTTAGAGAGTTTTATTTCAGAGGTCTGTTTTAGGTTGACCCAACCAAGTTTTAAAATATYGTGCTCAGGCATCATCAGGTCACTTTTACTGACTGATGAACTGTTTGTGCTGAGAGCTCTGTGAGCAGATCTGGGATGTTGCTTGCTTAAATCAACTCCTGAGGTTAAAAAAATAAATAAAAATCACAGCTTGTCACAAGTTAGGAAAGGTGACAAGGAAATGAAAGCATCTGAACCTAGGAAGTAGGCTGTGTTTTCTCATAAACCAGTCATAGGTGAATCCAGTGTCAGCGTCTCTGAATGTTAGAGAAAAGCAAAGCAAGGTGTTTCTATAAAACATTTCAACACTCACTGATGACATGGTGGTGTTTGGTGCTGCTAAATCACAAGTCATTWGTTCTACATACAAAAACAGTTAGACAATGATTTTTTTTATTCCATAAATTAAAAAGGTTGATTAAAGGATGATTAAAATGTCCATGACAAGACTCCATGGTGACTCATTAATATTTRGAGTTGATGTTAAAAAATGTCACTAACCCATTTTCATTATTCAGTTCATTTTCTGAGAGCAAAATCCAAGTTAAAAACATTTTGTTATTTAGCTCACTGTTCTTACATTTCACTATTTTTTTTACTAAATGTTAAATAATATATGTA